GGGGTGCTTTTGAGACAGGGTTTCTGTCCCGCGCGATCGTCTTGCCGGCAAGAACAACACAGGACATTCGGATCCTTCTACAGTAAAGCTTTAATGCCTCTTGAGAGGAACAGCATAAGCTTACAAAAGCGGAGACCCCGAGCCAAGAATCCTGTCCCCTAATAAAGGCTGGCAACCGCCGCCTGGGACGTGTCACCCTATGATTGGCTGCAGCTCATTGGACCATATGACGCCACGGAATAGGGAGAGATCAAGGAATGGAAAGTTACCCAGTGCCTGCGCGCATTAACTTGTTTACATTTGGTGCCTGCCGGATGCAGGCGCCATCTTGTAATGGAGAATGCAGGGACGGCTCCCTACAGGTTTCTCTCTGTAGTTCTGGCTATCCTGAAACTCACTTTGTAGACCAGGCTGGCCTGGAACTCAGAATTCTGGGATTAAAGTCGTGTCCTTTCTAAATTCAACTGAATTAAACTGGAGCCATCCCTTAATTTACTGTGTACTATGCATTCTCCATTACCTAATTTTCATACTTCAATCAACATCTAAAATGATGTTTTAGAAATAAAGATCTGGCCAGCAATTGGGAGGCAGAGGCAGAGGGATCTCTGTAAGTTTGAGACTAGCCTGATCTACAACAAAGAGTTGTAGGACAGCCATCTCAATGGCAACGAAGTCTGGTAATGTTTCCTCATACAGGAACCTTTGAGTGGTTTCATATTGGTAGTAGACTAAAGTCGGAAGCTCTTAGCCTGCCTCTTGCCCCATGTGACTCTAAGACTCACTGGAAGGCCCCCCTTCCCCACTTGTGTCCCTGTGGGTCGTCTGGTGCTCTGATCTCTGGCCTTCACCCCGCCTCTTCACTCATTGGTGCTTGCTACTTGCCAGGGACCGTTCTTGTTCTGAGTGCATGGATAAAAATGATAAAATTCCTCGAGAACTTTTATTCCAGACAGAAAGTAAGACAGTAAGCAAAACAATGAAATGTCAGACAGTTAGAAATATGGAAGAAGGGGCTGGAGAGATGACTCAGTGGTCAAGAGCACTGGCTGCTCTTCCAAAGGACTCAGGCTCAGTTCCTAGCATCCACTTGGTGGCTCACAACCATCAGTAACTCCAAGTCCCAGGGGATCGAGTGCCCTCTTTTGGCCTCCTGAGGCACCGGCCACGCACTTATGTACACATACATACACGTAGACAAGACAATACACATAAAATGAACACAATTGATTTTGAAAAAAAGGATGCAAGATGAAAGTGAGACAGGGAATTAGGCTATGGAGGGGAAAAGGAGTGTTTCCATTTAGACAGTCAGAAGAGCCCCATGCACTGCCATTGTCTGGATAAAGAGCTACAAGGAACAAGGAAGAAGTGGCGTGGGTATTCAGAGGCCTCGTGCAGCAGTGGGAAACTATGCCTGTTATGGGCTGAGTGTGTCCAGGTACCAAGCAGAGTTAGGTGGCTCAGGGGAGGCTGGGCATGAAGGAGAGAACAGACATCTGTCCTTCCTTCCATTTTCAACCAGAGAGACTTACTCTTTTAAAACCCAGAAGTGTGTGTGTGTGTGCGCGCGCGCGCGCGCATGCTCAAGAGCACTCGTGCTCCAGTGTGTTTCACTATGTACAGCTTCACTAAAGGTCGCATATTTTAGTTATTTCCCACATGAAAATAACTTAATGGGACTTTTTTTTAGCTGAGATTACAGAGACTGCTCATGGCAAGGGAGAGTCCTACATAATATCTTTTTTTTTTTTTTTTTTTTTTTTTTTTTTTTTTTTTTTTTGCCTGACTATTGATCAGACAGCTTTTAGAGGGAAGACCAATTACTGGTCCCTTTGTGATGCTGTCTCCATCTTTCTTTCCTCCACGCCCTCCTTCCTTCTCCTCCCTCTTCTTCATTCCCAGCTCGCCCTCAGCCGACTTCCTCTCCAGCACGCACAACTGGAATGTTTGCTCTAGTCCAAGCCTTTGTGATGTCTCTCAAGCTGTAAATCATTCACCCTGCCTCATGAACTTTACTATTTTCACGCATCACTCCCTCTTTTTCTAAATACCCACAAATTATAACTGTCATTTATCCTGTTTACTGTCAGTTTCTTGAAGGTAGAATGCAGACTTCATTAGCTCAGGAATTCTATTTTATTGGTGGTTATATTTCAGTGGACCAGTTTGATTATTGATACACTGAATTGGTGATCAGTAATTTTGTGTTTGTTTCGTGAGGCTCACTGAAAACACCTTCCCCAGTCTTCCCAAGCCCTAGGATTATAGGAATGTAGCCCTGTGCGCAACAGTAAACATCTTGGGATGAATAAGTTAATGACTTCATTGAGGGGGTGTTTGCCTCACAGTGTTTCTACTGCTGCAACAAAATACCATGACCAAAAAGCAAGCTGGGGAGAGAAGGGTTTATTTGGTTTACACTTCTATATTACTGTTTGTTATTACAGGAAGTCAAGACAGGAACTCAAAATAGATCAGAAACCTGGAGGCAGGAGCTGAGGCAGAAGCCATGGAGGGGTGCTGCTTACTGGCTTGCTTCCCCTGGCTTGCTCAGCCTATTTCCTTTTAAAATATTTTTAATGATTCTGTGTATTTCTCAGTATTCATCCCAATCTCACTTGTCTCCCAGTCCCCTTGCATT